TTTTTTTTTTAAATTGGGGAACAGTGTGTTTTTCCAGGACCCATCAGCTCCAAGTCAAGTAGTTGTTTCAATCTAGTTGTAGAGGGTGCAGCTCAGTGGCCAATGCGGGGATTGAACCAGCAACCTTGGTGTTATGAGCACTGCACTCTAACCAACTGAGCTAACCGCCTCCCCTCCCCCCGATCAAGGTTTCTTATGCACGAGAGCAGGGTGTGGTAGGGTCTTCCTTAGAGGATTGTTTTGAGAAGTAACTGAATTAATACACAAGAAAGGATGTACAGTACTTAACATGCAGCAAATGCTAAGTAAATTCTAACTACTACTATTATTATCATCATCGTCATTAGGCTGAACCACATTAAATAGCCATTATTTAACCCTCTGTGACCTACCCAAATGTCAATTTCACATCAATCAAGATACTGTCATCCCACACACCAGAGCTTCGGTCCCTTTCCCTCACTGAGGACCTTGGGCTCTGTAGTCGGACACCTAATTTCTTTCTTTTGTTGTTGTTGTCCATGAGCGCCTAATTTCAAATCCAAGTTTGCCTGTCCCTTCCAGTGACACTGACCAAGTACTCAGGAGTGGTCACATCTGCCAAATGGGAATAATAACACTGCCATCATCCTAGGGTTACGGGCTAGGGTTACGAGTGGACACAGAACTTGAGCTTCATGAATGAACAGCCCAGATCTGTGCTCTGAGTCTTTCCAGCCTCCTCGGAGGCCCACAGACCCGTCAGCATCCTCCTCCTGTGGCTCCATCATGCTTCACTTACCCAAATCAGAAGGCTGGGCATCATCTGTGCTCCCCTGCCTTGCCATGAATCTCATTTCATTCCCTCTCCTGAATCACATCTCCATTCTAGCTATCGCCCTACAGCCAGACACCATGTCCTGTAGTTTGGTGATGTGCCAGCCTCTGCTCTCATCCCCTCGTCTCCAATCCTCCCCCTGCCAGTTCTTCCCAAAAGTCATGTAAGCAGCACATATATCTGACTAACTCCAGCTCCTACCATGGCTCTCCAGTACCTCCGTGAGGGATCTACAAAGCCTTGCAAATTCTGGCTCGTTGGTCTTTCTCACCCCTGACCCCCAACCCCCAACGGATCCCTAAAGTGCTATGGCTTTCCTCCTCAGTGCAGAGACCCGACTCAGCTGTCACTTCCTCTGGGACACTCTCCCTCACACCCATGGCTGGGTCAGCTGTCATCTCTGGGTTCCCTGTGCTTCCTCCATCACTCTGGTCACTTGAGTATCTCCCCTCTTAGACCGCAATCTCCGTGAGGGCAGCGACCACGTCTTCCTTGTCCACCATCGTAACCACCACCACGTTAATCATGCCCTCAATAGACGTTTCCTGCATGAGCAACGTCTGTGCGTTCGGGGCCCTCACTCGTCCCTGATTCCCTGCCTGCACACCCCGAACTGAACACATACAGTTAACCCTACCCAGGCCTGAGGCAGTATGGCCCGCAGTCAGGGCCCTCCTGACAAGGGTGCCAAAGCCAGGAGATCCGACATGACGGGCCCGGCTCACCTCGCCCAACGTCTGCAGGCTCTTCACGGCGCCCACCACAGCCTGGTGCTCCACACGCAGCTCGGCCGCCAGCTCCGCGCTGTCCAGGCCGCCATCGGCCGCCTCCAGGCGCCGCAGCAGTGCCTCCGCCACCGGACCGTCCGCCATAGCTAGTCCCAGTGCGCTCCGCGTGTACCGGCCTGGGCCAGAGCCACCGGAACCGGAACCGGCGCCGAAGCGTGTCCCGCCATATTGAATGTGGCGGTCTGTGTTTCAGGGCTCAGAGCTTCACCATCTTGAGTGTGTCAATTGGCCTCAAAGGGTGGAAGGGACTCAGTCCTTACCTCTGCCTTAGCTAGACTAGTGTAGTGGTTTCTGTGTGACTTGGGAAGTCAAATTGATGACCTCAAGGACAGGATCAGCGTTGTTTTACGTTTCATCCAGCTCCAGCTGCAGAGGGCTGTGTGACCTTGGACTTCTCCCCTCTCTGGGCTTTGGAGCCCTTAACCCTTCTGGGATTCTCTCTTACTCTGTGGAAGGGCTGTGGGTGGTAGGCTCCAGGGATAGTCATTCTGCTGATGTCAACTACTTTCAAACCATCAAAGGGAAGTTGGGTTGGGACCATCCCTATTTATACATGGAAGAAGGACTCTCCTAATAATAGTTATAGTCCAGGTAGCATTTAACCTGTATAGACATCCACCCGTGTGCCCAGCCTAGTGCTAAGTAGTTCAGGTGTGTTATATCATTTTCCCCAAAACTTTATGATGTAGATACTAGTATAATCCCCATTTAACAAATGTGGAAACTAAGGCTCAGAGGGTGATATGATTTACCCATGGTTGTACAAGAAGCCAGTGGAGACGAAGTCAGAAATTATAAACACCCCAGATCCCACCCAACCTCCCGCCCATGCTCTGAGGAGAGCAATGTCAGGGCAATAATGCATGGTCTAAATCAATGCTGGCATATAGATATACTTCTATGAGAGACACTAATGTGATTTTAAAATTTCTAGCAGCAACGTTATAAACAAAATGGGTGAAATTAATTTGAAGAACCTACTAATTCTGATACATGTATTTATCAGTTAAACACTTGATATAAAATTACTAATGAGGGCCGGCCGAGTGGCTCAGCTGGTTAAGAGCTCACTTGGGAGCACCAGCTCTGAGCAGCAGNCAATGATGGTGCCAACTTGGGCCAGTGAAGCAATGTCCTCCACAACTAGACTGAAGAACAAAAGGACAGCAACTTGTCTGTTCCCCTTCCCCTGATTCCTCAGCGCTGTTCCAATTCCCCAATAAAAATCTTTTTAAAAAAACCAAAAAACTCAGGGGGACAAAGGCATGTCCTCTCTAAAGTGACACATGTATGGAAGTTTGATGCTGGAGCCCACAATGATGATCTGGGAAAAGACAGTTCTCAGCAGGCACAGCACAGGCAAAGGCCCTGAGGTGGGCAGGAGGGCAGGTGGAAGGAGGAGATTATAGAGGTTGATGTGATTAGCTCACACAGGGCTTGTTGGCCATGCTGAAGAGGCTGGAGTTTATAAAATGGTACACCAACCCGAAAGGTTCTGCCTGCACCTGGTACCTCTAATGGCACAGTGGGGCCCACCCACCTCTCAGGAAGAAGGTATCATGCTGGTCGCGCGCTGGGTGCTGCTGGGGCTGAAAGAGTGCATCAAAGTTCCAAAAGGAGCTCTCAATGAAGTTGTCAGTTGGCATCTCGGTGAACCTGGTGGGAGACTTGGCCTGATTGCCCTGCCTGTGCCCAGTGGCTGGCCCGACCCCACCCCTGGTCCCATGCTCACCCCATCTCCAGGAAGATCTGCCGGAACTGGGTGCGGACCTTGAGCAGTGGGTGCAGGTGACCGCTGTTAGGGAGGACGCCGTGGGCCGAGAAATTGTAGGGCTTGAAGGACCGGTCCCGCCAGGAGCCGCTGTGGGTGGGGATGCAGGGTATACTGGCCTGGTAGGGGCTGCCCACCCCCATCCCCACCCTCATCCCCGACCTTGGGGCCACCCCTACCTAGAGATCATCTCTGGGCTCAGCTCTGCCTCCTGCTTGGAGATGCTGGTGCTGAAGGCACTGCCCTTGCTCACCCAGTAGGTCTTCAGGGTCCTGCAGCCAGAAGGGGGAGGAGGCACGAATGTCACATCCTCTAAGAGGCTTCCCTTGATCTCCCCTCTGATGCTGCCCCAACGCCACCCACTAAGTCACACTGCTTTATTTTCTTCCTGACATTTATTGTCACCTAAAATTCTTTTATTTGGCTCCCACCTATGTCTTGTGTTCATTCAGTTATTCATTCAACAAACACTTATTGAGAGCCTGCTGTGTGCCAGGGCCTGTTCAAGGCACTACGCAAAGCTGGGGGTAACAGTAATAGACAAAGATTTTTTTTTAAACAATAGGTAAAATTTAGGTAAATAATGTTATTCTGTGCCACGCTCTGTTCCGCTGAAGTTGCCCCACAATCTTGTGAAAAGGGGCCATTTTACAGATGAAATACTGAGGCCCAGAAAGATCAGTTTACTCGGCCAAGGTCACAGAGCTAGTAAATGGCAGAGCTGGGACTTGGATCAGGCAGCCTGCGTCCACTCAGTGTGTACTCAAAGGGGACATCAGCCCTGTGAACAGAGAATACAGCCTGTCCAGGTCCCAGTATTCAATCAATTTTAGACAGTGCTTAGGACTGTGAAGGAAATAAACAGGGAGCAAGAGACAGAAACTAGAAGCAAACGGCTTTTGTAGAACTCACAGGGAGAAAAGGTGGCCCCTATAAGGCTGGATGCCAGAGCCTGCCTTGAAGATCAGTAGAAAAATCATTCTTGGCAGAAGACACAGCATGTACCAAGGCCCTGAGGTGGCATGAGCCTGACCTGTTTGCTTGGCAACCACAGTGTGAAGGGGGGCTGAGAGGAGACCGAGAGCACCGAGGCCCAGTGTGGGTAGAATGGCTCTCCTTTCCCTCCCGCTACCCCAGGGCCATACAGGTGACAGGGTCTGAGCCTGGGAGTGGCCACTCACACTTCAGTCAGCAGTTTCCTCTTCTTGAGCTCACTCCTTTCCTTCTCACCCAGCTTCTCAGCCTGTCCGGCCCGGACCAGCTGGAGCCGCCGTTGCACTTCATCCTCCACACTGTCCACCTATTGTGATGATGGGCATGAGGGACCGTGAGGACCAGGGGCTCACCCGCCCACCCGCAGGGACTCACCACTCGGAACACCCGAGGCCCGTCAGCAGTGCTCTTGTCCACACGGATCCACTTGTTGGACATGGCCTTGCTGAAGCCCACCTTGCCGCTGGGCAGTCGCTGAGGAAACAAGGCTGCAGTGAGGTGGGCAAGAGGGCTGCCTTCACCCCATCACCTCCCTAGGACATGTCCACCCCCCAGACCCTACCATGAGCTCGCTTTGGGCCAGGCCCTCCGGGGGGACACCATGAAACACCCGGGCCTCGTGGCTGCCCTCCCGGGCAATCTCCTCGCCCTCGGCTGTAAGCTCCCAGCGCTTGGTGGAGCGCAGCTCAGCCTCGATGACCTGCAGGGAAAAGGGGACACAGGAGAGGACAGGGTTTAGAGCCAGTCACCCCCTTGCCTCAGCACTAGGGCCAACGTCAAAGCACAACCACTGAAGCTAGCTAGCTTCACATCCCAGCTGCACCACTTCTGGAGCCAAGTGAGCTCCCCTTGTTGACACAGGGATATCGATAAATATGGGTCTAACTCCCAAGGTGAGTTAAAGTACTAAAGGTGTTACCTGGCAGAGAACAAATTTTTTCTATCACTTTTGAACCTAGGAAAGATTTTTTTTTTTAACTTGAGGAAGATTTCTTTAAAGTCTCAGGTAGATTGACATCTCCACGTTTATGCATTTACATCTCAGTGCCCGAAGTGTCAGAGAAGTGCCCCAGAGGTCCACATTATACATGGAAACCTGAGGCTCCCCAGTGAGGACAGGTTCAGGTCACATAGACAGGGGTAAGGCTAGATGGGGCCCACAGGTGGTAGTTCTCCCGTTCATTCTAATTCCCAGCTCTGCTCCGTTCCTCACTCACTGCGTGACC